TTACTATTAGTATTAAACAATGTGATTTCTTCATTTGGGAAAAAATGCATTTCTCAGTCAAATTAGATTGCATAAAAACTTTTTGACTAGCTAGGGGTAGGTAATATACACTTCTAAAAATATTTAAACATTTTTTTTTTTAAATGTTTTACCCAATACTGAATAGTATCAAACATTTTATTAAGATAATCATTACTAAATAATGATAATGATGGTAATTCAAACTTATTTGACTTTCAAGATTTCAAAACACCTAAAAAAAATAATTATTTATGATTAAATTTTTAAAAAAAGCTCACATTCATTCAGCCTACCAATTACCTATGGTACTAAAAAATATTAAAAATCGGGATTTTTGCTTAAAATGAATATATTTTATACTACCCAATGTACATACAGGAAAGATTAATGGTTCTAATAAATGTGAACTCGAACATCCTGGCATTTTAAAAAGATAAAATTCAATCTATCGCAATCAGTCTGAGAAATTGAGTGTTCCCTTAATTGGTCATAACATGTTTTATATACTCTTAAAGATTGTACAATTGTAATAATAACAAACACTTACAGTTTTGAAGTGACTTAACTGTGCGATACACATTAATTGAAAGGATTGATAAATGTAAATATACATCATCTTTTGGCACAGGCACTGTAAAATAGTAAACAATAATCAAACTTAATTACCAAGGTACTTTCATAAAAAAAAATGCAAAAACTTTTTTTATTTGCAAATTTGTGATATAGGTAATTTTTAAGAAAATTTATGTAGATAGCATACAATATTTCAATAATTCTAAATGATAATGTAGTATGATATAAATATTTACCTTTATGTATTTTTTTAGAGAAGTCTGTTTTAAATTCATTTTTATTGAACTCTTCACAAGATTTTTTCAAATTTGCTTGTATTGTTTTCATACATTTTATATCATGTTTTTTAACTGCCATAACCTTTGTAGAGCCCTATAATGATATACAATTATACCGTTTTATATGTGAACCAGTTCTGTTTCATGAAAGGTAAGATTTAATATCTATACATTATAATTTTAGATTAAGAGCAAAAATTTAAAGCAAATTAATGTATGAAGTAATGGAGGTCTTAAAGTTTAGGAAAGTTAAAAAGTATAAAAATCTGTCCGTATGTTAGACAAGTATTTAAGGGTTCAATAGGTAATTAATTTTAGACAGCTGGTTTCTAGTTTGTATGCATAGTGTGTAATATTCTTGAATAGACTGTCGGGAAAATTACAATTCAATGACTTAAATAGTACATTGGTATCTTAGTCTGAAATTCTGATGTATTTCTCTTGATCATAGGTGTCCACAGTAATAAAAGCTGGGGGAGGGGGATACCATTATTTTTGCAAAAGAACAGTCAATGTATTCTAGTTGAACTTAAATGTTGAGAGTAGTAGAGTACCTATAATTACGTTATTATAATTGTTTATTACTTGAATGAGTAATGGCGATTGTGGAGGTGAATAAATACCAACTTTTTCGGCTGCACTAACTAAACTTTCAGTAGAGTTATTTGGCATTATTCTTAATGTATTAAGTGCCTCTTCTTCTTCTTCGGGAGCCATATTTTTACCTAAACATTACCAAAATAAAAAATAATTGTTAATGAAACTAACAAAGAATTGGTAACTAGATAAAAACAAGTAACAATTTCTTACCCATTAAATAATCACTAGTTAGTTCTTCTTTGCTTTTATTAGACTTTAATGACAAAGAACTAATGGGTCTTACTTTGACATTTTTACTATGTTTCAATATTTCAGAGTAATAAAAATCCGTGTCATTTGAAGTTTTTAAAACTTCATCTTGAATTCCAAATTGTTTTAACATTTTTATATCATTGTCAAATGATGTGTCATTGAATGTTTGTACATTAAAACATAATTTCAGAGTGCCGACTATTTTCTCATTATTCATAAGTGGTAATGTTTTAATCAGCTGGTTATCTTGATCTATTAATATGTTTATCATAGTCGCATGAGCTAATGTTTTATTTTCATAATTTTTAACTGAACATCTTAGTGTGCATGTTGATAGATAGTGTAAAAATGATTTGTAGCTTGTTCGAATATCATAAGTAATCTTAGAATATTTAGATGTTCTGAAAAATGTTTTAGATAATAAATATTTAATATCCTAAATAGCATGGCAAAATAGATTTATTTAAGCTCGTATGATAGGTAGAAAAAAATACCATGTTATAGTTCATTACCCATGTATTTATGTTGGTTTTTAAAAAATGTAACAACAGAATAAAAAGGGTAAAATGTACATAGATTAGTTCAATAATACTTGCTGAAGAAATAATTTAAATGTTATACTTTAAACATTACAATGTAAAATGTAAAATATATATTTATTTGTAATGTTAATTGCATTTGATAGCTGATAGATATTTTAAATACATTTTTATCTACATATCTACCTAATACAAATTAATATCAAGTATCAAAAACAATTTCAAAAGTTCTATTACATTATAGACATTATAGATGATCTTTAAAACTGACTTATTCTGTAGTGTATAATACTTGGAAATTAAAGGAGATAAAAAACAAACTAAAAATGCAGTCTTAGTCTGTTAGTTAAACTAAGTCAGCAATCTTAGTAAAAATTAAATTAAAATTAACTATTAAAATACTTAATACAAAGATTAGTTTTATGTATAATTTATATATTGCTTACAAAAGTTTTTGTTTTTCTTGACATCCAGTCCATTCAAATTGTACATAGGTACTTTTTACATAACTGCTATACCATGATATATCTGATACAGACAATATTAAAATGCCGCTAATCTTTCCATTAAAAAATGGAGGCAAATTCGGCATTATAGAAATAGTTTTTTAAAGACCATCAATCTGTAACAAAGCATTATAAAAAAAAAATTGACAGTTACCTAATAAATATTATATATTGTATTGTAATAATTGTATATCATATTTCTAATTGAATGCTTAAAAAAGTTTGACCCAATAATTTTAACAGGTTACAAGATGATATGTATAGACTTGAGTAAAAAATATGATGAAATGAATAATTTGTTATTTTCAATTGGGTATTTTAATTCTGGATAAATGAAGAAGGATATTATTACATCACTCTCCCCCCTCTTCTTCTATAAGTTTGTTATTGTTAAAATTATTAATTAAAACCTACAGGTTTATACTTGTTATTTATACATCAATATGTTCAACACATATTTTGCTTAGGAATATGAAACTTAAAATTATACATAATACTCAATTCATGTGTGAAACTCAGTTATGATGAAAAAAATCTAGGGAAGTATATGTTTTATCAATGATTTTAAATAGTTTTAATTAATTAATAATCAATAGTTTTTTGCATGAATAAAATTAAAACATTTGTTTGTTATAATATTAGAAGGCAAAACAAATATAAGATTGAGAACTTACCAGAGGATAGTGATAGTTTAATTTAATATTATTATACAAACGTAGGTATACAAATCACAATTGTCAGTTAACTAGTTGCAACTTTTTATCATCACGAAGAGTTCTAACAATTTTAAATCGTCAGTAGGTATTATAGTAGTACCACTAGTATAGCACAATGAACTAGTTAATGAACGAAATTAACTATTGTAATTTGTCACCCGTATCGTTCAGCAATTAATACCTTAAGTTAATTTAAAAAAATTAAAGTTTTCAACTTGGAATTAAAACGACGGGTATTTTAAAAAATATATTTCAATCGAGATAAGAAATGTCGGTTTATCACTGATCATTTTTATTATATTGTTTATACCACGGTCTAAGATTATTATCAACCGCAGTCATGAATTATTTTATTGGTACATACCATAGAACAATACCAAGGCCTATTTTGACAAAACATGGATACCAACCGTGATGGATAACAACAATTTTTGTAATCAGCCGGTAAAACTTGTTATCAATCTCCTGTCAATGATAATTGATAATAATAAAACACAAAATACAAATAATAAGTTATTAACCACGAGGACGATAATTTTCAACTATTAATTTTGTTGGAAAAGAGCACAGTCGTACTCGTACGCACAGGTCACGAATTAAGCTAATCTACATCATCTATAAGATCTTGATTCGTGCATTACGTACAGATATCATGTCGTTATTTATTTTAAACCACGACACGAATTTCGAGCACATAATCGGCGTTCTGTTCAACAATTGGACCGCACTCAAAGTAAATATTATTCCTCTTTTGTTGCTACACTTCCCATTTAAAAATCATTAATTATTATTATTATTATTATTTACGTTCAAGTTGGCGGTTGAACATGGCATGGGTGGATCGTCTGAAGTCATGCAATTCAAAATAAGTGATCTAATAAAGAACATACACGAATGTCTTCGAAAGTCTGGTTTGTACCTTATCTTTGTTAGTTTATCGAATAAAGTACCCATCATGTGATATTTAATTTTAAACAGATATCAATTATTTACTACACGCAGTCTCGACTAAAGTTATTTCTTTGCTAAAATATTAATAAATTATGAAGTCTAGTGGTTTGAAAATTATAATTATTAATTTATCCATCATAATTAAGGTGACAGCATGTGTTGGACAAGTATATCTGATATTATTGAAGACGTAATGGATGTTGGGTTTGATGTTGTACTTGAAGATGCTTCTGCTGATGAATTAAGTAAGCATATTTGTAATCTCTACTGTGATTGGAACCAGTCAATGGATGGCCAAAAAAAAGTTATAGATGAACTCAGAAGTTTACCTACAGCAATCCCTATTCAAATTGTTCCAGTAAGACCAATACGTGAAAAACAAAAGGTAATTTGTGTATGACATTTTTGTACTATGTTCTTGTTGGCTGTGATTAAATAATACAATTAATAGAAATCTCTAACTTATCAAAATTCTAGTGGTCTTATTTATTTCTATAGTTATTAAACAGCACATTTTCAGTAATTCAACACAATGTAAATACAATTGTCATTTATTTGAGGTTGTAAATTAAATGCACTAACTCAACAATAAACTAATTAATTATGTATGCTATACTAACCTAATATTTATAATTAAATTAATTTTTTTCTTTCTATATTTTATTGATAACAATTATGATTACTAAAATAATTATGCTTAGAACGTTAGTGCCACAATCATACAATATATTACACATTAATTCTTCTGTATTTACCTAAGTTTTCCAATACATTATTCAACAAAATATGAAATAAAACTTATGAAAAACTGGTGTATTTGTCATCTGTGGTAACCCAAATTACTAGCTAATTTAACTCAAAAAGTTTAGAACCCAGGTATAGACCTCTCCCCCCCCCCTCGCAGCATAGTACTTTGCTTGTAAAACAATTTAAATAAAAATATATTACCTTTTGTTCACTCCTATCTCAAATATTATACCTTAACCTGTTTTCTATTTAGCTACATAAATATTTTTAGTCTTCATAAACTTACAAACTAAAGACTTAATATTATGTATTTTGTTACATATCACATCAATGTTTTTCTAACCCAAATTTTAATTCTTATGATATTTATTGTTTATGTTTTGCAACAGGTAGCAACACACCTGTAAGCTTTCTTAATATGTACAATATCTTTATATATACAAAAAAAAGTTTCTTTTTTAAGTTTGGGATAATCTTAGAAAATACCAAACTGGTTTCAACTTCAAAATGGTGTATTTCAGTTTAAACTAGCATAGTGCATACTATGGAGCAGGTTACAACTCCAAAGCATTGTTGTCTTATGAACCCATTACCTTGTCTATGGAATATTGGGCGATAAAAAAGAATACCGTAGTGGCGCCATCTGTCCAGTAAAATAACATTTAAAAAAATGGTTCAACTTTTTCCCTTAAATTAATTATTATTGTCAATATCCGATTTAATTTTTAACTTAATTTAAAAATAATGATTATGAAAATACTGGGATACAACATATTATATATTGCATATTTTTCATATTACATGAATATAATAACATAGAAAATAAACAATCATTTTAGACTTAAACTTAATTATGTTATTTGTATTTATTTTAGAAGGATGATTCATCGTCTAGTGAAGAATCTGAAGCCTGTGATGATGGGTGGACAGTGGTGAAACATAAATAAAACTTACCAGCAATATGTTTACTTTATTCTTTTGTTTATGAAATAATGAATTTTATTAGATAATGGGCTGTTGTAATGTGCTGTTATTTATAGCAAAACATTTGATTTTCATATGAGTATACTAACTATAGTGTTTATAAACTCCTTTATGTTATAATTCCTAACTATATAAATGTATATTATTAATATTTAGTAATTTTTCTCTTGTACAATTATGAACTAAATTAGATAAAAAATTATTTTTAAATGTATCATTTATAACCTGATAAATTATGATGTTGACTTGTCCTTTTTGGATAGACATTTCAACATAATATACACAATGTTTGCCCCTTTCAAATGTTAATACAAATATTTTTTTTTTACTATTGAAATATTATTGTTTTGAATATTATTGCTAATTTCAAAGCCACAATCAAATAAACTAAAGTCTTATGTGATTGGTTTTGTTCAACTTTTACTTAATTTGTGAAATATAGTATAGGTAATGTTAAAAAAAATTTATTATGTAAGGTTTAAAATCGTAAAAGATAAAAGTACGAAGGGTCAGATATCAGAATAAATTTAAAGAAATATTTATCTAAAACAATTAATTTTTAGTAATTAGTCATTTAAAATGTACTAATTAATTTGTAACTAAAAGAAAAAATATTGTTAGATGATAATAACCAAAAAAATATGGTAAAACTCGTCTTTTACAAAATTATTTTTGTTTTTTTGTTTTAATTCACAAACAAGTAATCATAGATACTTGACTTTTCAAAATGTATATACATGAATATATGATGTAAATTATAAAACATCTTGTTATTGAGTTTGAATTATTGCAGATCTATAACCAAAATGTGCTTAATATTACTTAATACTTCATAACAATTCAAAATAAACAATTTAATTAGTAAAGATTAAATGATGTGTGATTAAAAACTAACTAAAAATTCAACAAATAATTCTTTTATTTAATATAATTATTATTTATAAATTACCTAGAGTACCTAATGAAACATAAAAATATATAACAATTCAGCCATAAAAAATATCAATATACTTTTTAAGCCTATTAATTGAATAAAAAATCACATTTTCACATGTTATGACAAAAAAAATTTTTGACTTACATGCTGACTATCCTAGTTAAAACATAAAAGCAATTACTGAACTTGAGTTATAGACACTAATTTGGATATTGTAACCTCATTTAACTACATTTGCCATAGAAAAAAGTATTTTATAAATAAAAAGATGATAAATTATCATGATAGGTACAATTGATTATTGTGGACAGGGGGCAAGTATTTGGCCCTATACTTGCCATTTTATCATCACTAAATGTATTAACTTAAACATAGGTACCAAAGTATTAGTAAATGAAAATTGCACTCTCTACTCATCTTCAATTTTCTCAGGAAACAACTTAAGATGCACTGTGTTTAATAATTTATCTGAAGTTCAGAACTACAGAGTATAATGTATTAGGTACCTACTTATTTTTTATAACTATATGTCAAAATGGATGAAAAACTTAAACATACCTGGGTTGATGTTTATAAATTATTACGATATAAGAGTTTAATTGTTTTCATTCTGATTTTTTCGGCACAGCCCTTTTTTTAGTTTCCATTTTAAACAACTAAGAGCAAAGAACAAAACATTGAATGCCCAAAACTATACCTATACCTAGTTATCCTATTCATCCAACAATAGTATTATATTGTATTATTATGTGCAATAAATTAATACTTTATTTTTTATTGTGTACATTACTTTTATTAGGTCATATTAAGTAAACACTCACTGGTAGTGGCGAATTGAACTTAAATCTTAAATAACGCATTTTCATGAAAATGATATGCAATTTTGGAAAGTTGGTTCACATATTTTATTTAAATATTATATAAGCTTATAATATTTACCTTTGTAATTTAATATATTTACAGTCCATTTATCCCATATTAGGTATATTATTTTTAAAAGTTGTGTTAAAAAATAACCCATAAGTTACAATAAAAAAAATTACAAAAACCAATACAAAGCTGTTTATGTCATGTAAATAAAAGATTTACGAAACAAAATCTCCATGTTGCAGAGAACCTAAATTAAATAATTATTAAGGTTCTTATGATCCTTAATTTTTGTTGTCATTTCAATTAATATTGTTTATACTTTTTTAGAAACAAAATGAAAAATTGTTGTAGTTGTAAACAACTTACAAACCATATAATATATGTATCCTATTTATTACCTAATTTATTTACCATTATTTATCTGACTGTTCATTCATACTGAATTATTATTATTTTTTTTAATTGATGAATGCTACAATTACTATTATTTAAATGTTTGTTACCCTGTGGCAATATATGAATATATGTAATAATTGTAAGACTTTTACCTTTATACTAATCAAGTGAATACTATTTTATAGTATACCTAAGTATTACTCAATTACTGTCATACTAACATTTTTTTTCTTCAGTTACTATATAAATGTATTATTATTATATTTACACTATTACACTATATATTTTATATGTCTTAGAGATAATTTGATTTTTTAAAAATATTTTTTTGTTTGTACTGAGTTTTAAGGTTGTTACTAATTTTATAGTTTTGATTGATTATTTATGAATGGGGAGTCTAAAATTTGACTTTTAAAATGTATAAACCATAAATAGTAACTTTTTTCAGATTTACCTAAATTAAATTAAATTTTTATTGTGTTAAATAAACATCCAAATGTTTGAATCGAGATTAAAATATTAAATGTAAGTAATTATGTACACTGAAAAATAAAAAAAATGTAAATACCTACTCTTAAAGTTAGACGGATTATTTTGTTTATATTGTGTGTCATATTCGTATTCTAAAAGGTTCCTAACTTTGTACGTTGGGTGAATTCTCAATTCATCCGTTTAAGATGTCCTCACTTTATTCTGATAGGGTGTTATTCTCGGTTCATCAATGTAAGATGTCCAAAGGATAACAAAAAAGGGACATCTAGACCTTCCACGGGTATCCTCTAGCAGTTCTGAGGACAGTCCTGGTCATCCAACTAGGACCATTTAAGTAGATACACACTATGGACGTCTATTTGCTATGTAGGGCATAAATAAGTACTCAGGTACCCCCTTACCCTCACAGATAGGTCGGTACGTATTTATGTTGTATTTCGTTTCATTTTAGTGCAGCCAGTACAGGACAATCAGAAGGTTCACCAGTTATTGGCAAGTGTTGTTTTGTGTACCTAGCTGATGTCGTAGGTTATAGGAACGAACATAAGACGCAATAAAAAATAGAATAGTTGGTATAATATTACTATATACCACCCAGCGAAAATAGTGCAAATTACCACGACGACAAATCATGAATGTAGTATTTTGTCTTTTGTCATTCACTTTGTACGACCATGTACGGCGTATGTCGTTTGTATCCTATCATAATTAAATTGAAATCGCGGCTGATTCGTCATTTGGTTGTCCAAACATTAGTCAACGTTACAAAAACATAAAGATTCTGCATAGATTCACGTGTACAAACACACTATTATTTTTAAGGTTTCTAAACGAAAGCAGGCGTGTATTGATGCTGTGATTTCGTTAACATTTCTGATTCACAATAGGTAACTTTTATGAAGTACCTACAACGTATAAATATATAATACCTATTATACGCACTGATAATTAGATATTCAACTGTTTTTTTCTATTCAAGTAGGTACTTATTATGTTTACAAAGAAGTTTAATAAGTGATAGTTTTACTTAAAAATAAAACCCCACACAACATTTTACTAAAATTATTGGAATTTGAATATTCAAAACTAATGCCTACCTGGTTGATGCAAAATTGAAAATATTATTTTTCACGTTGTAACCAAAATATTCACCAATGACAACAAAACGAAATGAATCAATACATTTAATTGTGCTAATCAGGCTTATTATTAGAAACAGTTGTGTAGGAAAGGTATTTCAGTCTTTTTCGGCTATGATTGGCCGTCATTTTAGCATTTCCCACAGGCGTAAAAAATCATAATATTCTGCCTCGGGCAGATGCAGCTGCCTAGTGGTATTTTCGGTATTAGCGATCTTATGGCGAAATCCGTCGATAGATGGCGCTGCCGTCCAACACTCACTGAAACGCAGCGTCGAGCGGTGTCGTTGACGCTTTTTCCAGAACGTCAAGCCGTTTTCTCGGGTACTTTCATGGATTCAAAATCACGATCGACGAAGACAGACAGTAAAGCGATAATTCAGTCGACGAATTTCAGTCCCCGTGGAGCTACGACTTTGTGTGCCAGTCGGTGGGCTGTCAGTGTTAAGCAACTGTCGTTCCGTTATAAATACTTGCCGACCGCACCAAGAATTTTAAGATCATACTTCACAGGATCATTTCTGTAGTATGCATCGTCCCCTCCAGGTGCAAATCTGGAGTCGTCATTGGCCACGATGATGAGATTGGTCCATGTGCCAGAGCGTGAGGCTGCTGGTGATCTGCTGTTCGCAGCGATGATCATTCAGCGACGATGATCGCAACCAGCTTCGCTGGAAGGTGTATGGACAGTCTGAGTGGTCCACTTTATCGAAAAATATTAACCAAACTTTCATATTTGTGAATGTTGGGTTATCGTTATCCAAGTAATTAAAGGCTTTGTGTCTGCTTATCCAAATTTTTAAGAGTTTTGTCCGTGAACCTGGTATGTAAATTATGTATTTCCATTCTGTATCAAAAACCAAATTAATATACTATAATCTCAGC